CAAAACTGCCGACAAATTTGATAATTTGTAACCTAATCAATACTGAAAAATCTCTCAATAGCTTAACAGAGAGCAATATTCTTGAAAAATTTATGTTATAGCTTTCAATCTCATCTAAAACCTAAACTTCGCTCAACAGTGTGACTAAAAAGGAAAAATTTTCTAACGTTATTCCTCCTTCCTCCTTCATAAGTCATAAATCTGTTGCACTCAGTTCTTTTATTAAACATTTCAACGAAATAACGGTGAAACATACGATTAGGTTTCAAATACTAATATTCCTTCATAACGTGTAGACAGAATTCAGAACGTCGCATAAACAGTTGCATAAAGAACGATCCTTACAGGTTACGGTAATATCGCTTGTGCAACAACATCGGGAAGAATTGCTACAATTATTTATGCAATGTTTGGTATACCGCTGATGATTATAGTGTTGAACACCCTAAACAAACTATTTTTGGAAAAAATTCGAGATGTAACATCCACTTGTAGCGATTTTATGCTTTACACAAGTAAATACATAATATCTTGCCTATAACTGTTACCTGTATAGCAGTTAAAGTGCTGGCTACTTGAAATTTTCGTCCTCAAAACTGACAAAACGTCGTAGTCGACCAAAATTATTATTAGTTTGCCAGTTCTCCTTCTTTCGAATACTTTACAACACTCTTGTTTTGCCATTAAAATAGAAAAAATATATCATAAGTACAAAAATAGAATTCAACTAATAATTAAATACGTAGAAATTGAAAAAAAAAATAAAAAGAAATTTTTTTCAGAAGTTCGTTTTGGAATCAAAAAATTACACCAAGGCTCGCCAGATTTTACAAGATATCAAATTGTTTCAAAACGATATTCCAAACGGAAAAGTACTTTAACTATCGATATTGAAAATCAGGTTCATAAAAATCTAGTGGCATTCGGTACAATAGTAATAAATTGCCGCTGAAAACCGTTTTCTCCAGTTTGTCACTGTGTTCATTTTTGGTACAAACTTGTCAATTTCTGAGGCTGTAAATTGATGTTTCAATAAAAGACTGCTAAAACTAAGAATAACAACAATGATAGCAATAAAAATTGAAAATTTCTGCATGAAATGATAATGATGATGAAAAACATCCAAAATAATTTTAGAACAATGCAACAGAAGATGACAAAAATGAAAAAGAAGAAGAAATCGAGGAGGAACCACCGGTTTTAGCATCTGTTTTTGCTGCTGTTGCATGGATTTTCCTATCAGCAGCAATTTTTTGTTTATGGGAAGATTGGACATATTTCACTTCAATTTACTTCTTTTTTGTCTCCCTCAGCACAATCGGTTAGTTTTCCTTTTTTATTTGTCGCTAAAACTAAAAAAACTTTATTTAAAAAAAGAAAAGATCAATAATTCTGCCGCAAAATTTAATACATTTTCTTCTAGAAATGCATACTGAATAGAGAGTTAATTTCATCAACCTACCAAATAAAAGAGAATTGAATAAATTTAAAGGATTTGGCGATATAACACCTGGCCACCCAGAATACATGATGGCTACTTTTGGTGTGGTGGTCGTCGGCCTTGCTTTGCTTGGTGTCTGCATCGATGTTGTTCGAGAAAAATTGGAACGAATGTACCTACTGCTACTGCAGAAACTTCTTCAGGTGTGACAATATTTGACCAATTTTGATATCCAGGTGTTCTGAGCAAAAGAGACTTCCGTCAGAAGAAGTTAAGAAACAATTTGCAAATATCAAAAACATTACCCATTAGAGGTCAGGCTTATGCTTACACTAAGGCTCAAGGCTTAAGCTTAGGCTTAAAGATTTAAACTTATTTCTTCTTTTCTGCAACAAACAATTTTTTCACTTTCAATGCGGAGAAGTTACTGACACCCAGCAGTGACCCCTACTTTCCACCTCAAAAAAAAAGGAAAAAAATGCAACGATTTTTGAAACACTTCTTGCTAAAAACATATTCAGGACTACATCGAACGTGTTGCTGCAGGCGATGCTGAAGGTGCCACCAAAGGTATGATGACTGGATTCCAGGATAAAGCGAAATTTCTTATGCCATTTATCAGGTAAATTAATCTTTATTAAATAAAGTTTCAGAAAAATGTCCCCCCAAAAAAAAAAAAAAAAAAA